TTTGGCTGGCATCTGCTCAGGAAATAGAAATCCTCCATGTCTTATAGGGTCTTTCCCCTGAATCATTTCTCAAAATAATGCTGCAAAAAATTTTCAATAAACACGCAATTGAGTTTAAAGTTCCTTTTCAACCTTCAAGTTTATTAATCTCTTACTGATTAAGCTAATGGCATCCATATTTCTGGAATGTCATTTTCAGGCAGTTTATATCAAAGTGTATAAAGACAGTTTATAGCAAAAATTTAACATGTGATTCCATACCGCAAAGTTTACATTGCTCCGTTTTAAAAGTTCTGGGGCAGTGAGGTGAACAGAAAATGGTAGAATAATTACTACAGAGAACAGAAGAGTCCACAGCATATAGATTTAGCACAAAGTTCACTGCCTGTGTATTTAAGGATTATGGTAATCACTTTCTAAGCTGTGCTATAATCTATTATCCAGAACCAGGATCCATCCACTTAATATTCATGAAAATAGTCCCTAACGAAGTTCAAGATTACAATTACATTGCTATTATTACTGTAATGTATTACATTATAAAAACACTAAGGCTTTATAGTTATTAGCCTGCCAAAATTATAATAATGCTTTTAACAAACATGATACCCTAACTATTCTTTCTAATACTCTTCCATAATTTGGAGGAAAGCAACTTTTAGATGTCATTAACAATATCTGTTCAGAGCTGTCAAGTCAGTGTCCCCATTTTATTATTAAATGAAAGCATACATAATGCAGGGATAAAATTCCTTTTTTACTACAAGGCAAACCTAACATACCAATGAATGTTAGATTGGCACCTGATTGAAAGAACAGTGCTCCCTGAGGATTCAATTGAGAATAAAGGCAGAATGTCTTATCTTTAGTTGTCACTCAACAGAACTCCACTTTCCTCTGGATAAGTCACTAGTAGTCTACATCATCCTTAGTTAGGGTGGCTAGTAAAACAGAAGAAGGGGGTGGCAGGGGGTGAATATGACTCTCCCCCTTGTGAGAGAAATGAGAGCAAGGTTGCCTGGCATATCTTTAAGGCAAGGAATAAAATTAAAAGGCACTCTCAGTAGATACAAGTGGGCATAGAGTGAAAGTAACGGATAGAATTTACAAAAGACTGGCTCAATCTGGCCCTTAAGAATCTGGACAAGCTCAGTTCAGTCGCTCAATCATTTCTGACTCTTTGCGACCCCATGGACTGTAGAATGCCAGGCTTCCCTGTCCATCACCAACACCTTATTTAAACTCATGTTCATCGAGTTGGTGATGCCATCCAACCATCTCATCCTCTTGTCATTCCCTTCTCCTACCTGCCTTCAATCTTTCCCAGCATCAAGGTCTTTTCAAATGAACTAGCTCTTCACATCATGTGGACAAAGTATTGGAGTTGCAGCTTCAACATCAGTCCTTCCAATGAATATTTAGGACTGATTTCCTTCAGGATGGACTGGTTGGATCTCCTTGAAGTCCAAGGGACTCTCAAGAGTCTTCTCAACTACGCAGTTCAAAAACATCAATTCTTCTGCGTTCAGCTTTCTTTACAGTCCAACTCTCACATCCATACATGACTACTGGAAAAACTATAGCTTTGACTACACAGACCTTTGTTGGCAAAGTAATCCCTCTGCTTTTTAATATGTTGTCTAGGTTGGTCATAGCTTTGCTTCCAAGGAGCAAGCATCTTTTAATTTCATGGCTGAAGTCATCATCTGCAGTGATTTTGGAGCCCAAAAAAATAAAGTCTGTCACTGTTTCCATTGTTTCCCCATCTATTGCCATGAAGTGATGGGGACCAGATGCCATGATCTTAGTTTTTTGAACGTTGAGTTTTAAGACCAGCTTTTTCACTCTCCTTTCTCACTTTCATCTAGAGGCTCTCTAGTTCTCCTTCTCTTTCTGCCATAAGGATGGTATCATCTGCATGTCTGAAGTTATTGATATTCTCCCAGCAATCTTGATTCCAGCTTGTGCTTCATCCAGCCCAGGATTTCTCATGATATACTCTGCATATAAGTTAAAGAGGCAAGGTAACCATATACAACCTTGATGTACTCTTTCCTGATTTGGAACCAGTCTATTGTTGCATTCCACTTCTAACTGTTGCTTCTTGACCTGCATACAGATTTCTCAGGAGGCGGGTCAGGTGGTCTGGTATTCCCATTCCTTTCAAAATTTTCCATAGTTTATTGTGATCCACACAGTCAAGGGCTTTGATATAGCCAATAAAGCAGAAGTAGATGTTTTTCTGGAACTCTTGCTTTTTCGATGATTCAGTGGGTATTGGTTAATTTGATCTCTGGTTCTCTGCCTTTTCTAAATCTAGTTTGAACATCTGGAACTTCATGGTTCACATACTATTGAAGCCTAGCTTGGAGAATTTTGAGCATTACTTTGCTAGTGTGTGAGATGAATTCAATTGTGTGGTAGTTTGAACATTCTTTGGCATTGCTGTTCTCTGGGATTGGAATGAAAAGTGACCTTTTCCTGTAGCCACTGCTGAGTTTTCAAAATTTCCTGGCATGTTGAGTGCAACATTTTAACAGCCTCATCTTTTAGGATTTGAAATTGCTCAGCTGGAATTCCATCACCTCCACCAACTTTGTTCGTAGTGATGCTTTCTAAGGCACAAATAACTTTGCATTCCAGGATATCTGGTTCTAGGTGAGTGATCACACCATCATGGTGATCTGGGTCATGAAGATCTTTTTTGTATTGTTTTTCTGTGTATTCTTGCCACCTCTTCTTAATATCGTCTGCTTCTGTTAGATCCATACCATTTCTGTCCTTTATTGAGCTCATCTTTGCATGAAATGTTCCCTTGGTATCTCTAATTTTCTTGAAGAGATCTCTAGACTTTCCCATTCTATTGTTTTCCTCTGTTTCTTTGCACTGAACACTAAGGAAAGCTTTCTTATCTCTCCTTGCTATTCTTTGGAACTCTGCGTTCAAATGGGTGTATCTTTCCTTTTCTCCTTTGATTTTCGCTTCTCTTCTTTTCTCAGCTATTTGTAAAGGTCTCCTCAGGCAACCATTTTGCCTCTTTGCATTTCTTTTCCTTGGGGATGGTCTTGATCACTGCCTCCTGTACAATGTCATGAAACTCCATCCATAGTTCTTCAGGCACTCTGTCTATCAGATCTAATCCCTTGAATCTCTTTCTCACTTCCACTGTTTAATCATAAGGGATTTCATTTAGTTCATACCTGAATGGTCTAGTGGTTTTCCCTACTTTCTTCAATTTAAGTCTGAATTGGCAATAAGGAGTTCATGATCTGAGCCACAGACAGTTCCCAGTCTTGTTTTTGCTGACTGTATAGAGTTTCTCCATCTTTGGCTGCAAAAAATATAATCAATCTGATTCTGGTATTGACCATCTGGTGATGTCCATGTGTGGAGTCTTCTCTTGTGTTGTTGGAAGAGGGTGTTTGCTATGACCAGTGTGTTCTCTTGGCAAAATCTGTTTGCCTTTGCCCCACTTTGTTTTGTACTCCAAGGCCAAATTTGCCTGTTACTCCAGGTATCTCTTGATTTCCTACTTTTGCATTCCAGTCCCCTATAATGAAAAGGACATCTTTTGTGGGTGTGTTAGTTCTAGAAGGTCTTATAGGTCTTCATAGAACCGTTTAACTTCAGCTTCTTCAGCATTACTAGTCCGGACATAGACTTGGATTACTGTAATATTAAATGGTTTGCCTTGGAAATGAACACAGATCATTCTGTTTTTTTGAGATTGCATGCAAGTACTGCATTTCAGAGTCTTTTGTTGACTGTGATGGCCACTCCACTTCTTCTAAGGGATTCTTGCCCACAGTAGCAGATATAATGGTAGATGGACAGGTAATGAGAACCTACTATATAGCACAGAGAACTCTACTCAATCTCTGTGGTGACCTAAATGGGAAGGCAATCCAAAAGAGAGGGGCTATATGTATACCTATAGCTGATTCACTCTGCAATACAGCAGGAACTAACACAAATTGTAAAGCAACTATATTCCAATTTTAATTAATTTTTAAAAATTAATTTTTAAAAGTTAATTAAAACAGCAGCTAAAACTGTTTTAAAAAGTGAGAGAAGAAGAAGATGGACAAGGTCAAGGGAGGCACAACTGGATGAGGGCAGTCAAAAGGTACAAACTTCTAATTATAAGGTAAGTACTAGAAATGTAATAAATAACATGATAAATATAATTAACACTGCTGTGTGTTATATGTGAAAGCTGTTAAAAGAGAAAATTCTAAGAATTTTCATCATAAGGGGAGATGTTTTTCTATTTATTTTTGTATGTGTATGAGATAATGGATGTTCACTAAACCTACTGTGACAATCATTTCATGATGCAAGTCAAATCATTATGCTGAACAGCTTAAACTTATAACATGTTGTACGTCAAGTGCATCTCAATAAAACTAGAAGAACAAAGATGGACAAAGTCTTAAAAAAAACATATTTCAAGTTCTAGTAAAGTATGCTTAATTTTACTAGTCTAAGAAGGCATACAATATTATGCCTGTCCAGTCACCTGGAAATACTCACCTTCATACTTCAAGCACTCTCAGGCCCAGGGGAGGGGGATTTAACACAAATGTTTCGTGAAATGACATGGCAACATGAAAAGTACCCATAAAACATCCTAGAGCCCAAGATCCAGTATCAGTACTTCTCAGAATTTATCTCAATGGTACAACTAAAGGAAATAAAAATTTTATTGACACAGTGATGTTAAGTACATTATATAAAGGAGAAAAAAACTGGAAATAACTAAAATATGTTAAGTGCAATCAGCTGACAAAAAACAAAGCAGCAAACTAAAATAATCATGATGATTATGCAATAAGGAAAAATTCTGCATACAATGTGAAAAAAATTAAAATTACTCAATGAGAAAAATACTTAGAAGCCAATAACTTAAAAAGAATAAAATTAACATAGTAACATTCTACACTGTAAAAATACCTCAGAAACAAAGAAGCTGTCATCTAGATAACAGATAGCAAGTTTACCTTGAGCTAGTCTTTCCAGTCGTTTTCCATGTTCCGGGGGTATTGCATACCTAAAATTTTAAACACAAATAACAACTTTAGGTTTGTAATTGTTCAGTTTGTATCCTAAGGATGTCTATTTCTAAATAATTTCATGCAAAAAAAAGTCAACCCCAAACTCCACATAGATTAACTAAGCAGCTATTAGAGAATCAAACATAGAGTTGTAACTCTTGAACACTAATCAGAGGAAAAATAAACTTCAGTCATCTATTTCAATGCCCCAGATCACCATTCCAACCACATTTTACACATTAGGGAACAAAGGCCCCAAGCCAGCAAACTGCTTGGACAAGGTGGCACCTGGCCACAACATGGAGATTAGAACCTCCCTTGTAACACTCACAACACCATAGCAATCCAGGGCTATTTTGGGTTTTATGTTTTTTGTTTCAAAGTTGATTAGTTGGGCCTTTGTTTTTAAGCAGAGTTCTTTTTTAAAAACCTTGTTTAAAAAATTAAAAGAAAAAACAACTTAAAAATTTACTGATAAGCAGGATAGGAAATAAAACTATTACAGCAATGTTTGTATCTCCACCAAACCTTTCTAAGAATATTGCACTTTTCAAATAGTTTTTAAATAAAAGTTTACCAGCCATAAAAAGGTTACTTTAATTTATTTCACAATTATGTGACTTTTAAAATCTTGATATATAAAAAAAGAATTCCCTGGCAGTCCAGCGGTTAGGACTCGGCGCTCGCACTGCCAGAGTCCAAGTAGGATCCCTGTTTGAAAAACGGAATTGTACATCCTTGGAGAACAGAAATTCTTCAAGTAGTACTCATTTATAGTTTCGTGTTTTTAAAAGCTAAATACTTGAATTTGTTTACTGTGAATTTACTAACAAATTTTAAAATAATAATTTTAAGTTAAATGATCATTTCATGTTTTAAATAAAAATATGTTATTCCTCAGACCTACATTTGCTGTTTACTAGCTCAAGATATATTAAGCACAAGCTAGGTTTTTACTAAAATAACTTTTCTCATTTTACTTAACACCACACTTGGTTGCCTTTGATGCCACTGATAACATATGCAAAACTTAATTGGATCCGATGTAACTAGGCAATTCTCTAAAAGAAAATTCAACCATACATCCTGTTGCTCAAGGCACTTTTAACAAAAGTATTCCAACTGAATTGGAAGATAAAAATTTTAGCATAACTAACTGATAATCACTCAACGTATTTATACAATAGTCACTTCTTAACAATGTTTAATCCCTGGTTTACACTATCAAATATACCCAGAAAAGGGGACACACACACACACACATACCACAGACAAGCATAACATACATGCTAAGACATGCACATGTATACACACACAGGCATGCACTCATGTAAGGGTTGGACATGGAGATATTTATATTTATATATCCAGATTCACTCTTCTAAAAAAATGATATCAAAGTTACAGTTCGTTAGTCTGAAATTCAACCATCTGCTCCCAGAAAATGTAAGTAAATATAAATGTATATAAAAGCATAAATATAAGGATAAAAAATACCTTTGACATAGTCTTTCAATTGGTCCTCACAACTCTGACAAAAATCACATGACCAACACATAGTCATCACATCTCTATAAAGAGTTCTAGTAAAAATTCTCTGGAGGTTAATCATCAGGAAGATTTTTGCCATACACTATACATGTATCAAAAATTCTTTAAATTAGACACACTGGGTGTGTCTCCTCAATGCAGCTTGGGTCACTAAGGCGTAATTGACCATTACAGGTGGAACCTCACTTTGTGGTATACCCTTCCAAACCTACCCTCCACGATGTGCCCAAGTCATCTCCACAAACTCCAGATCTGACCATGACAAAGCCCTGGGTCTTCCATGGCTGACTTACCTGAAGGACAGAAGCTGAGCCTTTTGCAGGGCACACAGACCTGCTGCAGTCCTAACACCTCTTCAGCTGCATTTATTGATCAATGTCCCAATCAAATCCTGCTCTTTGGCTCTACCAAAGAAGCCACTTCTAGCACCTTTGTTACTTCATACCTCCACTACTTTCCCTCCCCTACTTCTGGGCTTTGTATACCCTTACTATCCCCGTCCAGCCAACAAAACTACCACTTCTTTTTCTCACCCAGCTTGAGTCACCCCCAGGGAGAGACCCACACTCCTCCTTTCACTCTATCAACCACACAGCAGATAGCCTTCCATCATGGAACTCAGAATTCAATACTTTTTTACCTTTCTGTCTCCCTCTCTCCCTTCAGACTCACTGGGGCAAGGACCAGTGTCTCTTCTGGAATAAAGCACCAGAAAAGCAGCTGCTCAGAAAGTGTATGCTGACTTCTGTGGGCTCTCAAATGATGAATCATGTTCCTGATGAAACATGTGGAAGGAAGGATGGAAGATGTGGAAGGAGAGGAAGAATACAGGAAGAAGAAAGAAATCATGAAAGTGAGAAACTAGAAGAACAGGTAAGAAATTATATAAGCCGATACCTCGTTTCCTAAATACAGGGTCAGCCTGGCATACTCAGGACAAGTCTACCAGTTTCAATTTCCCAATTCATTCAAATGTCTAATTCAATCAAATCTTTCTCCCAGGACTCTGAACTTTCAGTGTGGGCTCCCCATTTTGCCTTCCCTTCTCTTCATCCCCTGTGGATCTCACCCAGGGCTCTAGTGCGTAAAAAATCCATGGACTGTGAAGGACAAAGTGTGCTCACAGTAGGTAGGCAAGACTGGGGGACCTAATTTCCACTTAAATGGCATGGAAATGGTTGGGTCTGCCCCCAGTAGACCATTATCATCACTAAACTATCTCCTTGGGCAGCTACAGACCTCATATCACTATCTTAGCATAAAAACCTTTATTCCTTACTGCTTGGCTTTCAAGACCCCAAGCCCCAATCACAATTTAGCCACAGCCACAAATATAGCAGTCCACTCCCAACAGTCTGGACTATGAATTATTCCCTCCCTCACAGGGGTTTTGACCTCACTTCTCACCACAAACAGCCCCTCCTTCCTGCTTCAAAATCCAACCTCCCAATCCCTGCCCAGATTCCACCTCCTCCATGAAGCTTTCTTTGACCACTGGAAACCTCAGCAATCCTACTTCTTTCCTACTTTCCAGAGATCTTCCATTATATTTCTCACATAGTGTTTATCATCTACTGTTTATCATCTAGCTGTTGTGTGGTGTGAATAAATCACTTTTGTGTGGATAGGCACTGGGTTCTGTGACAGAACACCTACCACCACACAGAAGTTTTCAAATAAATTATCCCTTTTAACTTACCTAGTATAGAGAGTGTCTGCTTCACAACTGGGTACTCTGTACCACCACTGTTCAGTTAGGCAACTAATTCCTAATTCTTTGAAGTGTGTTTTATACTTCTCTGTATCCTTTGAAAACCACCATATAAGATGTCTACCATTGCATACCCACACACACACTGGTTTGCTGAGATTACTAATTGTTCATTTATCCTATAGGACAGTGTATTTGTTTCAGACATAATGAGTATGACAAACAGTTCTGCTAACATTAAGAAACCATGAATCACTAACAAACTAGTAACATACTAATTAGATATTTACTAATTAGATATTTTGTTTAAAATTAGCATCTTTTATGAATTGGAGGGGGGAAAGATCTAATCTGAAGGCCAAGGAAAACAGAGTAATACTTCTAAGCACATCTTTGGGTGGTTTACTCAAAGAATAGACCTAAAATGATATTATCTTGGTGGCTGTAATTTACATACATTATCTTTAACTGAATAGTATCAGGCTGACATTTAGAACTGTCAGTAGGTGAAACTATTTTTCAATTGGTACTAGATCCATTTCTCTGATTTAGGCTTTCTCTATGAACTGGTCTCTGTATTGCTCATTTCAACATATGTTCAGACCATTAGTCCATCAGAAATGTTTTTTTTTTTTTTCATCAGAAATGTTTACCAGCACTACTCAAAGGGTAACTCCCATTTCTCCAATAATCCCCAAGGTCCCCCTAATTTCTTTCAGGAAACCATCAAGGGCAGTCTCACCACGCCAAGGGTCACCAAGAGGAGCCCCATTTCCAGGTCGAGGCCACGCTCAGGCAGGTCAGTCCTGAAATAGCACAGACCTTAGCTCCCTTCCCCTGATGGAGGCTGTGTGTGAAGTCGCCCTGCCCTCCTTTGGATATATTTCCTCTTCTTCCTGCTGTTTCACTCTGTCATCTCACATGAAGATTCAGGCTCAAGTCCCCAAAGATTAGTTTTCTGACAGACACTCTAAATTGCCCTCCCTTCTTTTACGAGCATAAGCAAGTTATACTTTCAATAGTCACTAAAGTGTTGAAAGCTGAGTGAAAAGAAAAACTGACCAATAAACAAAACTATATCGCTCATGACAGCTACCATTATCAAGCACTTATAATCTCATGCTAAGATCCTGTGATCGAAATTCTCTTACTAACACTTCCATTTTACTGATGAGGAAACTAAGGCTTAGAGGGATTAATTTTCTTAAGCAAGGTCGATGACAGACTGGTACCCAAGCCCAGATCTGAGTCTAGAGCCCAAGGTGTGCTCTCCAGCCCCATATCCCAATCCTGTTTCCTCATCAGTCACACCAAGATGCCAAGAGGAAGGAAGTGACAGAGGCTACCAAGCTCTTCCCTCCCAAGGACAAACCCACACCATTTACAATGATCACTGCAATCACTGCAGAGTGAGCCAACTTTTGGAAGTAAAAGTTTCCTGCCTGCTAACAGGCCAAAGTCCAGTATTCACACAGAATACTTCTCCCAGCTACCCTTCTTACATTACCCACTTCTAAAATTCACAATTGAAAAAAATCACTAATCTTTGAAACTAAAGTAATAGTATATACCAGGCAAATGATAATGACATTTTAAATAAAGTGCAATTACAAAACACAAAGCCATCAAATCACTACTCAAAACTTTTCTTTGGTTCTTGTTACAAAAAGCTTCATGAATAAAAAAGTGCCTAAATTATATTTCACAAAACTCAATATTTCTGAAGTAATTTACAATATACTTTTTAATTAAGGTCTATTCTTAATTGTGTCAAAAAGAAGGTGGAACAACTATAGATTTTTATATGTGTGATTATGTTACATTTTTACATTACTGATGATGTTAACAAGATTCACCATTTGCTCATTTATTAAAGTTTAAGCATTAATATTTTATATTATGAAATCTCATTAGCTAACTGTGGAAAACAGAACACTGCTTACTTCATTTTCAGTTCTTAAATAAAAATAGATGAATGTGAGAAACAGAAAGTGTGACTATAAGGGGTGCTTTGGTGGTAACCAACCCCCACCCCCACTGCTGGATGAGGCCCTCAGCACTTTCAGCAAAGGGATGCTCCTTGCCCCCAGACGACACTCACCCAGGGTCTAGTTCCCTTCCCCATGATCATGCTCCCTGGATAGGGAAGGGATGGTGGCCCATATGCAATGAATGCTCCAAGCCTGAGTATTGAGCCCTGGCACTCTCACCTCCATTTGGGACCCTGAGGCCCTGTCGGGGCCAGAGCTGCCTCTGGAATCTGCCCTGGGTTTGAAGGCAGTCAACTTTCCCTTCTGCCTAGTCCTGCCTTCCTCCCTCCCCACAGCGCCTGCTTTCAAAGCACTATCCTAGACACTGCCAGCATACACATAGGAGTCTCAAAACTGGCTTCCTGAACAACATAAGCTACAACAATTATAATGCACATGTTTGTAAGGAGGTGTCACTTAAGCATTCAACCTGCAAATACAAGCTGGGCATCTCTAACTATGACCTGGAGGATGAGGTGTTTGAGCTGTGGCCCTAAGAGACAAGATAAAAAGTCCCTGAGAAAAGGAATTCAGCCAGAGCTTGGCCTCACCATGTGCCATCTGTGGCCCATTTCCTGACAGAACAGTTAGATAGAAAAAATAATATCTGGCAACCACATGTGTAGACCATCATAAGTGAGACAACTGCATCAAGAAAAAGGTATTATAAAGTATTAGCTGATATCAACTATAGACAATATTAAAGAAATCCTTATGTTTTAATACTGATCTCTTCAAAGTACTCAACAAATAATACATTCAGTAGTGGTGTGGTTTTTTAATACTAGATGATTGATTTCCTGTTTTCTGTGGCATCCCACATGGCATCAGAGTTTCCTGAATGTGCCTGAAGGAAGGACTTGGTGAGGGGATGCTTCATGATACACATTTCAGGCAGGTCATCTCTGCCTTTATTTTCAATTTTATATAATTTGACCTTCTGAAGAAATTTTCATTTATGGAAAGTTTGAGAACCTCTATGCTAGGCCAGTGTTTTCCAAAGCGAGGACCCATCACAGGAAAATTTTTCCTGGTTTACACATGAATACTCAGAGGGAGAATTTGATTCACCTAAGACTTGGAATCCAATAAAATTTTGCTAAGAACAAGTGTTATGCTACTGCTAGAAAATAAAATGGAGTGTGGGGGTACTAAAAGCTATGCTTATGAACTGTAAGTTTCCTGAAGACCATTCTGTCTTATTCACCATGTTATTACTAGCACCAAGACCAGTACCTGACAGGTGGGTGACTCCATAAATATTTAATGAACAGGAAACAAACAAACAAAACCAAAAATCACCACACACAAATGCAGTCTTTTACAGAATCAAGTATTAATATAACAGAAACAAAATGCCATTTCAAGAAGAATAAAAAAATAGTAACTTCAAAAATTGGTAATAAACAAAAACATGCCCATAAGAAATTATTTGTTCCTATCAAAAATTTACCAAAACCAGTATTTTCCCAATGAAAAACAATCTTACCATATATGGAAATCTTCTGAGGATGGTATACTTTTGAAATGATCATTTATTCAAAGGATAATTATACCATCCATAAGAAAAAGTATCACTAGCTTAAAGAGTTCCACTACAACTGGCTTACAGAGTTTTAACACAATTAACTCCAACAAAGTATTGAAGCATTTTCAAGGAGATTTCCTGTGATTAAAGTTTAATCTTCAAGGGAAAACTACCTACACAGCTACTTTACAGTTGGAAATCTCTTTGAAAATTGAGAGGCCTTCAAAAGTGCACATTACCCAAAGCACCCACACTACCCACCGACAACTCAAGGAATATTCAAAACAAACAAACCAAAAAAAAGTACACAGCCTTAACTTTTTAAAAAAAGAGGTATTCATTTACACGTGGATTTAAAAAAAAAAAAAAAAAGACACCAGTCAGAGAAAAGGAAATCAGACTTGTGGTTACCAGAGGCAGAAGGTGAGGAGAGGCGGAATTGGAGGAAAATGGTCAAAAGATACAAACTTCCAGTTATAAGATAAATAAGTACGTGGGATGCAATGAACAACATGACGACTACAGCAACAATGTTATATGATATACAGGAAAGTTAACAGAGTTAATCCTAAGAGTATAAGAAGTTTCCTGTATGATATACAGGAAAGCTAACACAGTTAATCCTTACAGTA